TATTAAATAGGGACTGGTCATGGAGGAGACGTTGGTGGAAATATTGGTGGATTATTGTCTACACAACCAGCACCTGAATATTGGTGTTCTGTTGGTTATTTCGAGCTAGATACACAAGTAGGAGAAACTTTTAAAGTAAGCAGTGGTTGCCCAACTGTGACGGTAGATGGTTATGTAGACCCAAGTGGTGGTAATAGATTCTGTTTAGGAGCATTAAGTAATGTGCACAGAACAGAACAAAGTGAAAGAGCACGGCTTCACATAGGTATAAATTAAATTTAAATATTAAATATTCAATAGAGCAGTCTTTTTTTATAAACAATTATATTAATTCTGCTTTAGGAAAAGGAGTAGTGCTAGACTTAAGAGGTGAAGGAGATGTGTGGTTAAGATGCCAAAGCGAGCATAGCGTTTTTGTACAGTCTTATTATTTAGACAGAGAAGCTGGTCGAGCACCTGGAGATGCGGTACATAAGATATATCCTTCTGCATATATTAAAGTGTTTGATTTGCGTCAGTGTCATAAACAAATGAGAGGACAGGCAGCTACAGCTCAAGCTGCTGCTGCTGCACAAGCAGCTGCTGTTGCTGGTCATCTTACACATGGAGCACCTATAACTAAAAGTTGGTATATGCTTTTAGTATATATGTAATTCATACTTTACTTAAAAATTTATTATTATAAAACAAACTTTTTATAGGTTTAAGTGCAGCCGCAGGTATTGGAGTGGATGATCTTCGACGGCTTTGCATCTTACGTTTAAGTTTCGTGAAAGGATGGGGTCCTGATTATCCGAGACAAAGCATAAAGGAAACTCCATGTTGGATTGAGGTATAAAAAGTATTAACTTAGAATATTAGCATATAAAAAGTATCTGATGTATTACAATAACGAATACATAATATGAAAGATTTATTGTATTCTTCTTAGGTACATTTACACAGAGCTCTACAATTGTTAGATGAAGTGTTACATACTATGCCAATAGATGGTCCACGTGGTATTGAATAATCTTACTACATTTCGATAATGTACAAGAAGAAAAAAGGTCATAATGTTAGAAATGTAATGTGCAAAATGTGCATTATATATGTAGAGGGACGTTTAATATGTAACACATTCTTAAGATTTTAAATTGATCTAATTTATGAAAATCGAGTGAATGAAATTAAAATATCGAAAGCATTCACAAAAGCATGGTAATTCTACCATATGAATTTCATTGAACCAAAATATTGGAGGAAAAAAAAATTGAGTTTGAAGTACCAATTAAAATTCGTCTCAACAGTTTACACATATATGGTATATCATATAGAATAAAATGTGTGCCACGGCCTTGTACTATCAGCAATGTACAAAAATTAAACAAAGGAGACATTATTTTTTTTTATCGAAAAATTATTTTTTACTGTGACGAAATACATCTGCAGAAGAAAAGAAAGAGGTAGGATAAAAATCTATTTTATTAGACATTTGGTCTCTCTGATTAAAAGCTGAAATTATTTACAAAAAGCAGTTGTTTCAGCTTGAGTAAAACGCATGAAAAAAAAAAAAAAAACGTTTAATACGTTCAAAAGAAATGGTCATAATCTCATTCTATGAGATTTATCATTTAATATACTTTGAAATATGTTAAAACCTGCTACATTACAAGGAACTTAACTTTTATAATATATCATTTGAAAGAAGAGAAATGATAACATTTGAGTGCATAACAGAGATTTATTCTAGGGGTGCACTACCGTACAAAATCCTGTCAGATGATAGCCTTGAGACATAGAATTGATATAATAATCATCGATCGTACAAACTATACACTATAAATAGGTAATATCAATACTAAAATATTACTTAAAATATGTGACATATTTGATTAAATCATATGACTGAATTGTCAATAATAAACATGATGATAATAAGCATATTATAGAAGAGCTCTCATTAAGTTATTACATGTTACCTGGAAGCTATTTTAAATCATTAATGTTTTACACTAATTTGGTATTGTGCCATTAGAATATTCCTCTATAAAATCATCTGTTTTATAGTATAAAACCAAAAAATTATTATATAAATATTTTCATTATAATTATTAGTAACAGTGTTTTTATATATTAATGCTCGTTTCATCAACAATTATGCTTTAAGAATTGAAGGGTTTATTAATTATTATCATTGTTATTATCATTCTTGTTAGTACTATTATTATTAATGCTATTACTACCATTACTATTATTATTACTATTATTATTACTTTTATTTTGTTGTATGTATTATTGTGAGACGTATGTAAGTCTACATATGAATGTTGAATAACTGTAGAAATTGCTAAAAAGTCTGTAAATGTTTCATCTTTGATTTTGAGCAAATTTAATTATTGTAATAGTACATTTAATCACTTTAAACAAGCATCGATATTGCTGCTATCATAAAGTAATAGTTGTGTAATTATACATACCATTTATCAGCCATTTTATTATTATATATATTCGTACAAAATATTTTAATACATGGTAGTATTGTCAAATAGGATGAAGTTGACCAAATTTTATACCAATATATATATATATACATAAAAGCATATATACATATATATTACATATACTTATTCTGATTTATTGCAAAAGAGTTTATGGCTTGTTTTTATCACTTATATTCTGAATTTTGGCTTTATAAAGGTATGCTGAGTTCTTTCTTTTTTGTTGTAAATGAGTAGAGATTATTTGACTGTTTACTTTTTACATATTAACCTTATATTTCTTCATTAAACAATTAAGATATCATTGTTTAATAAATACTTGTTCTTTTTGTATAATATTCTGTCTAATGGACATTATATGTTGATAGTTTAACTGAGCTATCATTCGCCAAAGTAAGCATGAAGTTATTATATATTGCTTCTTTTTGTGTATAAGTGCAAAATATATAACCCTTTTTATTATATATAGTGTTGTATTTTAAAAGTAGAAATATTAATATCACTAAACAAATGTGATTTAAGAAATGGGTGAACTACAAATAAAAAAGTACATATATATTGTTAACAAATGAATTAACGGCAAATGATGTTACCAACTAAGTTAAAATTTGATAAAAACTGTAAATCATTGCTAAGATATGAAAGCGTTTTCTTTGTTATTTGACCAAGGCTAAATGAGGGATATATATCGTGCACGTAAAGTCAGCAGATTTTTTAAGTATATCTATTGCCAATTTCGTATTAAGAATACATGTGCCATCATTTTCATACATACTATACACAGAAGTAAAAACAGAGATAAGATTTAGAATTTTCTACAAATTCTATATTTTTAAACAAAAGTGCATAAAACATGAATGAAATGAAATCTAATTATGGTACTTCAGTATGCTTAACTAATGCGTATTAAATGAGAAGATACCAGTAAAGATTGAAGTCCAATCAGATCTTTGCAATGCACATTAAAGCAAACCAAATAATTTATCTAATTTTAATATTTATAAATGAAGATGTCAATCATACATGGCTTAATTAACATTGGTATATTAACTTTAATAGCAACTTCAGAATAACTTTACAAGAAAATATTTTGAACAATGAGCATAATTTTTAAAGTAAAGATACCTTTTTCTGAATACAAGTTTTTAACATATTGTGGAACTGGTATCTAAGTGCAATAGCCCTTTCTTATGTCAGACATATTGTAGTTGATAGATAAAAGTAAATTATACCATAGAAATTTACATTATTCTTTAAGAATTAATAGTGGTAAGATATAAGACAGACTGGTATTTATATATACCACATATTTTGCGATATTAATATCATATAAACATATTTGTTTATACGAACACAAATATATGTAGCATTTTTAAATGCAAAAGCTTATGTGAGATATAATATACTATAGGTTCTTTTATATGGCTATTTTCTTCATTTTTTATCAAGATAAATCATGATCATAAATCAATCTATTAAATGTCACCTTTAATAGCAAGTTTTTTCTTATTATAAAAGAAGAATAATGAAAAATATTTTTAAATTCATTAAATGCAGTCATTCTTTTGTATTTATTCTTATCATAATATAAACGATTATATTTTTTACAGTTTGACATTATGTTCATTGATGATTCTGAGATTGAAGACTTATTCTCAAGCGGTAGAAGTGTATACAATAAATATAAAAGTATATTAATATATTAGAGTTCATCTTTTGCTAGACTATCTGTATTTATGTGAGTTTTTTTACACGTATTTTTTTGTATACTTAGAAATAATCTCAAATATTTTTCACTATACGCAGAAGGTTTTTTTTCTTAACAATATGTTATGGAGTAAGATCATTTATTTCTATGCCAAAGATATTCTAATAATATAATTACAGTATGCTATTATATATAAACAAAATATAAAGAGAGTGTAGATGTAATTTTTTGCTGTTACTTCACAATAAACTACGCAGACAGAATTACATTTAATTAATGTTTTTATATTACAATCTTATTCAATGCAGAATATCATATAAAAATTTGAGAAAATGATATGCATGAAATACATAAAAAATCAGGAAAAATAAAATATATCTGCGATAATCATTAAATGCAAACATTTTTAAATTATTTTGCTTATTAATTATTCATACATATTTATGGATACGAATATATAATAATATATTATTTAATTGTTGTTATAATTATATTACTCCATTTGTGTTGAACGCAAATTATCACTATTGAAATAAAATGTATAGTTATTGCAACTAGAAAGGACTGTGTGCAGAGAACCAATGATATGGTTTGAAATACATAGGTTCATAGAATTTGAATGAATATGTTTATAAGAGATTTTTTGTTATAGTATATACATGGTCATTTTAAATAAACATATTCCAAAAATTACGAACACTTTCTTGATTCATGTATATTTTAATCCAAAAGTAAAATGAAATACAATAATCAAGATAAAGAGAAATATATTCATTTTACATTAATACATGAAGAAAAAAACAAAGGTATTCTACGAACTAATTTTAATTTATTTATAGGCTCACGACATTATCACTATTTACATTTGTTTTTTTACTGTCAGTGTATGGTTCTGTATAACAGTTTCCTTTCAAATCAATAGCAAAATCATGATTCACAATATTTATTAATGCTTCCTCAATCGCTTTATCTATATTTGCAGCAGTTATAAAAGTAGGTGCTTCTTCCTTAAGTTTTTTAACATGCTCTTCAATTTCTTGTTCCTTCCGTTTATCTCTTTCCTCTTTTTCTAATAACTTCTTTAATATAGTTTCTTTTCTTTCTTCTTTTTCTCTTGCCAATCTGTCTTCTCTAATTTTGGCTATTTGCATGTTCCATTCATCATTTATTAAATTAGATTGTATGAAATCCTTTTCCGCTATTTTATTTACAGTTATTTCATCAAATTGGACTTGACTCTTCTTAAACTCATTTTCAAAATATTGCCTATAAATAAATGTATATCGTAATTTCTATTATATCCAAAATAATGTATATTAATTCCCTTTCTAATTCCCCTTCATATTTAAAAATGCATTAACTTACATAAGTGATTTCATGACTGTTCTGTAGTTATTATTTAATCTTTTAAGTTCTATATATTCTTCTATAAGTATTTTTGGCCTTGGAGGTACTCTGAATACCTTGCTCTTTGCAGTTGGTAACCAAATCGGTTTCCTTTTCCATCGAATGCACTGCGTATAAATTATATTTGGCTCAAACTGTTCACACTTTATAAAATTACCCAATGTTAATGAACAAACACCACTTATCTGTTTTGTTCGTAACATGTTTATTATAAATTACCTATAAAAGAGAGATATTTTTATTCAATATATGCTGCATATTGACTACTAAAAAATTTGTTAATCGCAATAATAAAAGGATTTAGATTTAAAAATATGAAATAAAAAATAATAAACAATCCAGACATTACATTTAATTCAATTAATTTTAAATTAAAAATAATCGGAAACATATATTTATTGAACGTATAATTTTTAGAGTATATAATTAATTTTGCATAACACAATATCTCATTGCATAGATACCTTATTTTGTTTTATCAGTAATAAATATTTCACTTATTAAATTTGGACTATTGAACAAAAGCTTGATCTTTAATACGAATATTTGAGGTTAGGAATAAGTTAGAGATGTACTTTGTTATCTAGATGAAGCTACGAAGTAACGTTTGGTTATCTATATGGTGGAGTATTCACATTTAAGATACATACATAAGAATATATAATTTACGTTGATGTACATGACATAATTATACTTATAATAAAATAAATATATAATTATTTAACGATAAACTTGTTATCATTAACATTTTTATTTTAATAATTTGGTTATTTTCTTAAGTTTATTTTTTCATATCAAACCGACCGTTCATTTGTTTCTTACGTATGTATGCACATGCATTTAATATACCTACATTAATTTACACTGCAGCATTTTACGATTGTACTTCATTTTATAATCAAAAGATAAGCAAATGAGAATTTTTGTCCATTTTTATTAAATATTCATAAAAAAGAAGTACAAACTACAAAAAAAAAATGGAAATATTAAATATTTAATCAAAATATAATTTTATTATACTTACTATAAAAATAAAATAATCTGTAATAAATACCGCAGTAGTTGCATCGTGTTAATAGCGCCAAATTTTAAAACATATAGCGTATACGTATATATATATATTTAAGCGATATCCGTTTTTTTGGTACACGACCATCGAAAGTCGTACATACATATATAAATATTTATATATGCATGTACGTATGTATGTGTAAGAAGAATTGCACATAACCGAGAGTGAAATAATTAGGCTCCACGTTTTGAGGACCTCATTAAATTCAGAGCGCGAATGCGCCAGGGCTCTTTGGTATATATTCAGCGTTGCTTTTTTTTTTTCCTAACGCAGTTGAGACTGAGACCTTATTCCAGTGAGTGCGTCTTTCTCACGCGTTGATAAATCTAACATTTTAATAAATTCTTGTATATTCATACATTTTGGAACAATCTGAACGAGAAACAACGAGGAGTCAACCGGTGATTCACTGAATGTGATTAAATGAATTTTTATTAAATAAATTTACTGTCTCTCGTTAAATAGATTAACAAATAGACAATTTAATGACGAAAAGATGTATAGCGTTACTGTGACCCCGGGAAGATCTTCTGAGAAACAAAGTACATCGCGAAATAAAGAAACAGAATTGGTGGGTTACAAAAGTAGAAGAAGAGAATCTGTACCAGTAAGAGTTTTAAATTACATCCGGTCTCAGTTTCAAGCGGAAGGCATTCCGGGTGAGTCGTAAAACGATTTAGTTTTTTTTTCTTTCTTTTTTTTTTTCAAACGATTTATACGTATCCACGAATTTTGACAAAAATTCATCAATGCACTTTCGAATGTAGGTATATTTGATTTTATTTCAAAAAATATAACGAGATACATTTGGTTCATAAATCGTGGGTATTTTCGCAGGTACGTTTGCTTTCTCGATCATTTTGTCATTTAGAATATCACTATACCGGCTTGTACGATATATATATATATATCACACTGTATTGCGGTATTTTAACGTGTTTATACGTAACACATACAATAGCTTCGGTATTAATTATTAATTATTCATGATTACAATAACGAAATAACAATTTTAAACTATTACCTGTAATCGTGAGAACTAAACATTATTTATTTTCACGATATAAATTAATTATCTCACCATTTAACGTGTATACATTTTTCTTATCTTTATAGTCGTTTTTTATTTATTTTAATATCTGTATATATGCAACAAGATATATATATATATATATATATATATATATATATAGTAAATAATTTTATATATGTGTGTATGTATATATATATTATGATAATATATTTAAATTTGTTCCTAAAGTATATTAAACGTATCATATTAGTTCAGTCTTTTCATTTCTTCGTTTGTTTATCAACGTTCAACGGAGGTAGTACATTCAATTTAATTTTGTGGGTGTTTTAAAAATAACATCTTTTTCGTTATTTCAGTAAATAAACGGATAACGCAGAGTTTTCTAACGATATAATACGTCGTATTCGTTATGAAATTCTGTAAGAAATCGACCTAAAGTGTGAAAAGTTATATTTTCTTTAGTAATAATAATACAATTCAATGTACCACTGGCACACATATCACTATATATAAATAATTCAATAGGTTATATCCTCTTGCATTTGACTCGTAGAAATAGTCTCGTTTTTTAAGTTTGATTCCGTGTGTATGGTAGAAAATAAACTTTCTGAAACTTCTGCGTTTATAACTTCGCAACTGTTTATATCTTTTTGTAAAGGCATACGATACTTCGAGTAATCATTCATCCAAACATCATTTATCGAATCTTCACTTTCGTCTATAGAATCTTTGATATTCGAATTGTTATTAGACATCGATGTAGCGCGAATCATCCATACTTGTTCTGCGCTACATTCATCGGCGTTACTTTGTATATTAGCCATGCGCATACCGGCAGAGCTATCATTGTAAAGAAGCCAGTAAGGCGAGAAGGAATGGTGTCTCTGTTCTGCGACTAACTTTATCTGTTGAGAGCAAACATCGGTGGGCAGTACGGCTTTATGTGTAACTATTGGCGCAGTATAACAATATATACAAGATGTTTGATCTATTTTCGTATAATCTATTCTTTTTGATATATTAAAATTCAAAATATTTTCAAGATTATTGTCTGATAATTTTTTGTGGGACCACTTAGGCCAAAATGGATCTAACATTCCTAAAAATGTGTGAAATTTATATTATTTAATGTTTCTTTTATATATAACGTATAACTGAATTGTGTGATATTTCAATATTTTTTTTTAAAGTTATTTAAGATTTATTAAATAATGCATACCTACCATCAGAGCATGACTGTACTCTCTCTGTTACAGAATCTTTACATATATTCATATCTTGCGATGTTACAAGATCATTGGATTGTCGTGATTCAAAACTTTGAGACATCGTAACATATGATTGATGATTGTCATGCAAATTAGAATACTGATATGTAACTTCAGAATTGCATGGAATGTTGTTAGGTAATGTTTGACTAAGTGCAGGTACATCTGATGCGAAATTTATACTACCTGCAGAACCAGTCATCTGGAAATATTCTCTTGTTTCCCCTATATATTTATTATGATTTTCCAAGTACGCTTGATCTGTAGAAGTAGACTGTACATTGGACATTATAGTTGGAGAATAATACAAAGGATCTTCAGATGAATCAATATTAAGTACTGTTGGATTATCATTATAAACATTCTCACTAATATGATATCTATAATTTGAATTTCCATTATTTGCATTTGTTACTGGATTATCAAGATAAATAGCATGAAGTACTTTTGAAGTACTTATATCCGTATCAATATAACTTTCATCTATAGAATCCATAACATTTGTAATAGTCCAAGTTTGATAATTTTGTTTTAAATCATTGTTTGCATAATTGCAATGGTATTGATTACTATTCTGATCGGTTAGTACATTAGACATTTGATCGATATCTTGTACATTCTTAAAATTTGTATCATGTAAAAGATATTCATCCCTAACATTATTTAAAACTCCATAACAATCTGTATTGATTACAAGATTATCTTCATTATCATTGTCCACTGATTCTGCTGTTAACGTATCAGAATTATCTAATATATTTTCCGAATGATATTGTTCTACTGGCCAAACTCTATAATCTCCAAATACTGGTGATGCAAGTTCTCCTAAATTTGTACCAACTGGAGCTTGTAACATCTTTTTAAGAAGTATTGATCCACATGTACTCTTGCTTGAATCTTTTTGTAGGTGATGATATTGTATATGATTAGTTAAAGGATATATGCAAGAATTCGATTCATTAATACCTATCAAATTAGGCTTAGAACAATTAACTATATCTACAGGAAAGGAATGTGCAGTAGAACTACTTGCCGTAGTTCTTAGATCCACAATTGTCGATTCGTGTTGTGGATTATGAGGTGTATTATATGTTTGAAATTCTCTTTGTATTTTCCGTAACAAAAATTGCCTAAATTCTTCATAATGTGGAATCTTGTCATCCTCTCTACTTACAATTTCTTCTTCTGCACCTACCTAATAAAAATGTAACACAAACAATTATAGAACAAATAATACTACAAATACTACAAAAAAACAAATAATAATATAAATATTCTAAATCTAATAAATTTAATCTACAAGATGGAAAATGTCATCAAATTTTGGGACATTGGACATAAATTTTATTCTATTTTACTGTTTTTAAAAATATAAATATTTGATTATTAAAAATTTACTAATTCTTTTGTATACATGTATGTATATGTATAATATGCATATAATAACATTATATATATATTTTTTTTTTTATAAATAATTAAAATTATAAATATAGAAACGTTTTAAATAATGTCTTGGAAAAATGAATAAATAAATGTTTAAATAGAAAAAAGTTGATTACAAACGTATATGGATCACGAAGAACGATCTATGGTAAATGAAAGAATATATGACGATCACTTTTAAGCGACGGAATATTCTTGACCGATAAAAACATCGATCGCGTTAGGATCACGACGTAATATAATCGATTGAGTAAAGGGTTGAAAGATAGACCGTGACTCGAGCGCACTTAAGAAAAAAAAAGAAAAAAGAAAGACAGGGAGAATGAAAAGAAGAGAGAAAGAAAGGGAAACAAAAGGAAAGAGATATAATCTCACCCATTGATAAGGCGATCGTTGTTGCTGCTGTTGCTGTTGCGAATGATAATAATCTTCGGCCATGACGTTATCTGGACTTTGTATCGGTGTGGAGGTTATACCAAGCTTTTCGGCCTTGATCTTTCGTGTTCTCTTCTTCCGCGTCTGTTTTAAATCGCTCAACAATCTGTCGACTTCGCCATTGTCTCTGCTTCTTGCGGCCCTTATTATTTTAATAAGCAGCTCTTTCTGTGGATAAACGATCGGTTGATCGTTCGAAGCTCGATTTAATGTCACAAGAAAATTATCGAAGATCGAATATTACACCGGTCTTCTTCAAACGTCGCGAAAAAACTCATCGATATCGAGAAGAAAAATTTCTTCCCTTTTACTTGGTATTAGAAAATCAAGATAATGTATGAGATCGGTTGAAAATAATCTAATTACCTTTATGTTGCCTGGCACTCGATATTTCACAGCCAATGCTTGCAATTCCTTGTATGACAATCTTGAGATATCGTTGCCGTTCATTTTCAAATACCGGGACTCGAGAGATTTTAGCCATGTAACCGCGCGATCTTCTACGGATTACGGATGTAACAGGTACACAAATAGTTGGTAAGAATCGTCTGCTACCGGAAAACGCGCATCAATTCTCTCGAATATTTTCGATTTCCTATCTTAGAAGAAAGTACTCATACTTATTTATATGTGTCGTATCTCTCACGATTTCTTCCGTGGTTTATGCGACGAAAACGAAATTTAAATTTTCTTCGTTTGTATTGTTGATCGATCGAGTTCCTCGTACAATGATATAATATATATATCGTTATATTTTATGTTTATTGTAGTTTATTACGAAGGAAAATATATTTTAAGCTTTCTTTTCAGATATTCAGTAAGGATCAAAAGAAACTTTTTATTATTTCATTGATTGAATCTGGGAAGATTAAAGGAGACTAAATATTACGGTTATTTTCATTTTCCATTAATAATATCATCATATATTCGTAATAAACTGAGTAAATCAATTTATTTTTTTGAATTAATTCGATAGATACAAAGAAAAATCCATTTAATTTTTATCTTTTCTCAAGTGATTAATATTAGTCAGACATAACAAATATTGAATTGGAAAAAGTAAGAAAGAAAGAAAGAAGAAAAAGAAAAGAATAAATGAAAAGGAAATAAAAAAAGAAACATAAAATAAGAAAAAGAATTATTAAATTCGATATATCAATAAATCGACTTTACCGATAAAAAGGTACATACGAAGTTTCTTGTGAACGAGGATAAAACATATAAAAGGGATGAAACGTAATTGAAAGAAGAAAAAGAAGAAGAAGAAAAAGAAAAAGAAGAAAAAGAAGAAGTAGAAAAAAAGAAAAGAAAAAAATAAAAAATATAAAAAAATAAAGAAAAAGTAGCGTATGTCATCGGTGTGACGGCTGTCACATATATGAAATATATGAATGTATATGTTGACCTATACTGGGTTGGCCCAACGAGGTGCTAAAGAAAGAGGGAAACTGACTTGCGCGAGAGGTAGGACTGCGCTTTCCGGTATTCGTGCGTCGAACGGATCGAGAGAGAGAGAGAGGCATCAGTGGAGGAAAACAGGGCGGACGTGTTGCATCGTTGTCGCGCGTCCGTAGAAGACAAGTGAGAACGAGGGGGACGATCGAACGAGAGGGTTGGCCACGACGAACGATTCGCGAACAATAAATTCCCTGAACCTGTTTGCGAGAAGGAAGGAGAGAACAAAAGAAAGAAAGAAAGAAAGAAAGAAAGAAAGAAAGGAAAAGAAATTAAAGAGAAAAGAACGACGAAATATTATCAAAGATATAGACGATAATCGATTATTTAACGAGAGAGGAAGAGGGAGCTCTTCGTTATCTATTTGTCTCTTTCTCTTTCTCTTTTTCTTTCTCTTCCTTCGTATCTCTATCTTTCTTTCTCTCTTCGGTGAGCGATCGGTTCGCCGATCTACATACGTTCTACCGGATACGGCCAATGAAGGCACGTAAGAGCCGCGAGAAACGTAAGTTCACCAATCTCAGGGCCAAGATCGTCCGTAATCCGTGGTGCGTTATCAGCGTGGTGCGCGATCGCAGCTAGGACATTCGACGATGTCTCTCCTCCTCGATGATCGTCCTCGAGAAGCCGCGGAGTGAGGATTTCTTATTCCGCGAAGGGAGAACGAACGAAACGAGCTTTTCCATATTCGCATTTTCCTTCCCTTTTTTCCTATTTTTCATTATATATATATAATATACATATCTCTCTCTCTTTTTTCACTTTCTCTCTCTTTCTCTCTCTCTTCATTCCTTTTTTCCTCCTTTTATTTCTTATTCATCTTCGTTCGCTCTTACTAGCTGCAAACGTAATTCGCCGAGGTGCATCAGCGCCAAGAGTCGATGGAGATGCAGCGCCAAGGTGCGAGGCTCCTTCGACGTAGAAGATCTCACCTTAGATCTTCTTCTTCTGTCCCTATATCAATTCTCTCTCTCCTCTCTCTCTCTTTCTCTCTCTCTCTTTCTCTATATCTGATTCTCTTTGATAAACCCACTTAAACTTACAATGCAAGTTCTTTGACAGTCAATGTCAAAGAATCTTCTCTCTATATACCTATATTCTTTTACCCTCTTTCGTTGAATCACTTAGGAATTTTAGAAAATTAGAAAAAGAAACACACCACCCTTTCGATAGTAGAAATATTAATAAGATGAGGGAGGTGGAGTGTTGTAGTATAGGTGATATGCCGAATCGACCGACGTCACGCGAATTTTTTTATTATTTCTCTCGTATTTACATTTTTATTTAGATCGTGAAACGATCTCCCATAAAGATCACTTAAGTGGGATGGAAAACGTGAGCAGGTCACGGGATAGGAGCTGACTCGTCGTCATGGTAACCCCGGATGCCCGGGATCAGGAGCTCTATCTCTTTCTCTTGCTTTCTCCCTCCCTCTCTCTCTCTCTCTCTCTCTCTCTCTCTCTCTTTCTCTCTCTCTCTCTCTCTCTCTCTCTCTCTCTCTCTCACATTTTTCTTCTCGTTTTAGAGAACACACGTGTCCATTTTTTCATTGATTAACTCTTTATATAGAGGCAAATCCTCACGAACGAGTCTCCCTAATGCAATCATCGTTTGACGCTAGACCTTCGATATTTCTTTAAATAACCTTCTTATTGTTATATATATCATGACTTTAATATTTCCTTTTCACACCTTGTTCTTTTTTTTTTTTTTTTTTTTTGTTAAATTAATCCATCACATCGAATGAAGATCAAAGTCCTTTAATATTTTGAATAATCTGATCCCACGAAAATTATTATTATATTTTTTTGAAAATCTTGTATATGACATGCAAAATATATACTTAAAATATTTTTATTCTTATTTTTTTTTAATATGTACTTAAATTAAGAGATGCATTAATATAAAAGTTCGTCGAATTATTAAACATTGATCAAAGAAATCTATTAATTTGAGAAGCTCCTATCTCGTCGTGTTGCTAACGTGAATTGCGTGAAAGAGTTATTTCGGAAAAGTAGACGCGATGAGAGGCACGATGGACACACAATCGATTAGCCTTTAAGAGTCATTTTTGTTGTATTCGACCTTCGAGGAAGATCGATTGAGCGTGTTTCGTTCGGTCGTTTGGTTGGTAGTCTTAACGTGATATAAGAAGTTCGAAAAGGCATGTCGATATATTATGTGAAAATTAATTGATGTTACACTTGCATGGCGAACGTACTTATGCGAATGTAGAGAGTACCGAATAACGTCGTGTCTAGGACCTATGAGTTAAAGGATTAGTGGATTTAAATATGAACTTCTTTCTATCCCTTTCTCTCTATCTCTTTTTTCTTTCTCTATCTTTATGCCTCCCCTTTTAGAAAGATGATAACATAAATAAATAGTCTTGTTGTCAGTAGATTCTCGTTGTTACTACAGTGGTGTGTATTATCATACCTTTTTAGATTCGAACGTAACTTTAGTTTAAATGCTGTGCGAATGTAAATACTCGTAATTGCTTCGTACTATAAAATTTCATGACGTCAAGTCAAACTCATAATGTTATTAAATAAATAAACAACGAAGATGGAATGGGAGATAATGATAATTATCAAGCAAAATTACATATATAGATATAACTCTATTATAAAGATATGTTACGAGTTTGTTCGACGGCATGAATTTAAAAGTTAGTTCCCCTTAGATCAGTAGGAACGATTTTAGAAAGAAAAGAAAACCTTTAGATTTGCAACGACGTTTATGCGTAAGAGTTCATCGTTATCTTTCTTCTTTTTATCTCTCTGTATCGAATATCTGCGTTCTTTCATCTTCAAAAATATGATCAGAATAATATTATTATCAATAATAATTATAATAATAATAATAATAATAATAATAATAATAGTGGAATTTCGATATGAAAGAGATCAAAAAAAAGAAATTAAATATGTAAGAATGTCGCGTGTCGTTTTGATATTAGATAGATTTAACATAAGGGATTGGTAAGAGCAGGAAAGGGAAGGGGGGTCAAAATACGCACTCGATACGGACTCGCTCTGTAAATACATTGCACCCGTTGTTATTTATCTCCGAATACTTTAGTAGATGCTCTTTATCACACTGTCTTTGGTAGAAATCCTTGGCAGCATAGATACGTGGCAGACGGTGCATACACTGCCATCAGTACGAATCTGCTCGTTGCACCGTAAAGAATGACTCACTTTGTAAGTAGAAACGTTACTTCCTCCTCTCTCTCTCTCTCTTTCACTCTTTTTTTTACGCTTGGTAAAAAAAAAAAAGAAAAAAAAGAGAAGGGAAGAAAAAAATAAAAAAGAAATAAACAACAAAAGAAAATGAGAGGAGGAAGAACACACCCTGTTTGCTCCTGAGTAAAAAATAAAGTGCAAGAAGATATCTTAGAATCGGAGCGTCCTTTACACGTGGTGCAGTATTAAGAGTGAAGCCCCCCTTGACAACGTTACAGAGGGAGAACTTGAAGAACTCGGGGGCGTTTTAGGGGGTTCTGGAGGCGGCACCTTAACCTTGGGAGGACGTCACAAGCCCGAGGAATTGGCAACCTTAGCAGCTAACACGAGATTTTCAAGAAAGGAGATACAATTGATCTATCGCGGATTTAAGCAAGAGTGTCCTTCCGGATTGGTCGACGAGGAAGCTTTCAAACAAATCTTCTCGCAATTTTTTCCACAGGGAGGTGAGAATTTCAAATGTTCAAGATAGCGCATATAGATCATAAAACTTACAATGTTATTTATAACAAAATGTTATTTTGCTTAATTCGGTGATCGCAGATGCCAGCCAGTATGCTCATTACGTGTTCAACACTATGAAGAGGAAACACTCCGGTAAAATAAGTTTCGAGGTGAGATTATTCGATGCAGGTAGATTGCAATTTTTTAAAATAAATATCATTGGACTTATTATACATCGATACGTAGGAGTTCCTGACGATTCTATCAAAAGTATCTCGAGGTTCGGTGGAGGAGAAGTTACAGTGGGTTTTCGGATTATATGATCTAGATGGCGATGGATTAATCAGCAAGGAAGAAATGTTGGATGTCGTTGGATCCATTTATGAAATGCTGGGTCGTTATACTCAACCGCAAATAGTCGAGCCGCATTTGGCTGCACGCGAACACGTCGATCGTATATTCCATGTGAGTTACGTAATTAATGCGTGTAACTCACGATTTATTTTTCTCTTTCGGGCCAATGCGAAATGATAAGACATTAATACATTTTAGCTAATGGATGCGAACAAGGACGGCGTTGTAACTATCGAGGAATTGGTGCAATGGTGTTCTAAGGACGAGCAATTATTACGAAGTCTCGACACTCTAGACACAGTATTGTGAGAGTTTAACGTTATTTTCGTATCTTTTCCATTAAGTTATCAAAAGCTTTTTCATTTTCTTCCGCGATCGATAACGTACAGCGTATAAAAGAGTTTCATGAGTTCCATTTATGGAGGACGACCGTTCTATATTAAATTCCGATAATATTGTATCTTCGAATCTCTTTCTTACTATTTCGATATATTATGAAAAAAAAGAAAGAAAACAAGATTATGCTTAGAAAAAAATGTATATTTCGAGTTAACAGGGATAGCATAAAAACAGGATCGTATCGTATAAACCTTAAAGGCAATCAAATCATGGATTTTTAATGTTTCAAAATAGTCACTGGTATAGAAATATAGAATGGTACGTCTCCTGATAATGACACTATGAAAACTATTTCAATACGCGTTTGTAAATATGTATGTACCTACCCTACCTACCCAGTCTTTCAACCGTGCCACGTCAGAGTACGATAATTGACATTATCGAAACTTTCAGCGGACATCGTTCAAATAGCGTGTCACACACTTATAACTTTATTAAAATATAGGAACTATATTTTACTTTAACGTAACTTCCACGATTCATGATTACCGATGAAAATTTAGGTAGACGAATTTCTTAAAATTTTACTTTAATTATATCGATCGATCGATATATCGTATACTTTATTTCTTAATTAATTATAATAAATCGAAATATATCTTTAACGCTTTTTCTAATTTTCATCAAGTTCGACATAATTTATTCTTTAGCTTTCTACACATCGATTTACAAATGTACGATTTTTATACTTTTTCATAAATTTTAACTTATATTTAAAGCTTTGAAATGACTGTTCCAATGCATAACCGTGACAGAAAAATGCCAAAAAAATAAAATGAAAAAAAAAAAAAAAGAAAGAAAAGAAACGCGAACGGATTTTGATATTAAAAACGTCAAAAGTGGAAGTACGTGATATCAAAGAGCTGATTTCGCCGAAGATAATCTTAGAAATTAATAATGGTGAAACTACAACAAAATGAATAAAAGAAAATTAGATTTTTTCGATGCAACAATTTTTCCTGGGGCCTTTTAAATGCTAGTTATGCTCGTTAAAATGAAAAAGAAAAAAAGAAAAAACGTCTTTATTCGTATTTTAAAATGAAATCTTAGAGAAATTCTCCGTGACCATCTTTAAACGGATTTTAAACAACATTCCTCACTTATAAGTGATTTTATCCAAAATTATAAACCTATTAGCGGGCATATGTGTCTTATCCAAAGGATAAAGTGAAGAAAAAAAATGAGAGACATCCCAACGGAGACATCGTCATAATGTGACTAAAATCTCTTGATCATTTCGAATGAATTTCGAATGAAATTCGTATTAATGTAATTGCTATCTGATTACGTTGGGTGTCTCACGTTGAAATTTGCAATATGAATGAATATTGTATAGTACCTTGGTAGTCTCGACCAAATAAATGAAGCATTAGCTAATATAAGCTAACGCTTCGTGTGATTCTCCTGTACCTTATTTATTTACTTACAGATTTTAAAATACAATCTATCGATATTATGACGATGTTTATTATATCAACGTTAGTAGGTGTATCGATAATATGACGTATGTATAGCATATTGTTCGAAATTGATTTCATTAGAATTAATGAAGAATTTTTTTTCTTCGCAGCTTTCTTTTCTTTGAAAAATATTTCGTTGTTGTTTAGTTAACAATTAATATTTAAAATATTTAAGAGTATGAAGAAAAGAAAGCTCTTTTTTCTTTAGTGAAATCAATTAACAACAATGTGCATAGTACATTCGATTTGTGAAATAACGCGATACATCAAATATCAATATAATATGTCAATCGTCAAATATGTTGAAAAAAAGTTAAATAAGTTTATAAGAAAAAGAATTCTATATGCGATATATTCGATATGCAGGGTATATTACGTACTTTTCATATTTTTCTGCTGAATGAATTAATGAGAGATTCTTTATGAAATTAATTCGAATCTATATACATGTATCAATTTTTAATAGCTTTTCTTATAGCAAAATATGTAAGATTATTTTGCGTATTTTTCTCACAAGCATCCTGTAATATTTCATTTATTTTTATTACAATATTTAAGACATTTTTGGTACGCCTCTCAAGATATGTAAATAACGCGTTAATGCAATTTCTAATCCGTACACATTCGATGCAAAAAAACTATTCTATTGTAATATACTTATCTACTTTACTAACAAAAGTTAGCGTATGTCCGTTTGTTCAAATCAATAACCTGCATAGATTCCAACAGTTCTATAAGCGATGTTCGCAATATTATCTTAAAAAATTTCCGTACTTTTAGGACACATTCAAAAGTCTCTAAAATAGCGTAGCAATTTTAATGTATTCCCGAATGCTTATCACGAAAGTGCATGTTCATTTAAAAAAAAATCCAAATCTCTGCCTTTAGATATAAATATACAAATAATTGTCATTCACAATAATTGAAAATTGATCTTTTTGCTCAAATGTTAAAAGAATATTATATAATATGATAAACAATTAATATTTCTATAATTTATTAACATTTCCTAATTATCCATACCTGCAATTTAATAAACAAATAAATAATTTCTGCGGCGCGTAATAATTTTAATCCTGAAAGAATCGATGTACATACGACACGAATTCCGGGCCTATTTATATATCCATATTTCAATCCAACGAAATTTATTTAATATTTATCCAATATCCAATATCCAATATCCAATAATAATCGGTAAAAGTAGTTCTATGTTTTACCGATCAAGAAGATAATAATCAGTCATAGTAGATCTCTGCTTTACCGGTTAGAAATAACTCGGTCATTATATTATATATATTAGAAATAATACAGAAAAAATTTACAATCGAATTATAGTGTGTGATAGACATTTTTATAAATGTAGTAAAAATGATAGTACATATAACAAAAGCAAGAAAAAATTATATACCAGATTATTTTTGGTATACTATTTATAATTTTATTTGCTACCATCATAGGCACTATAATCAGTTGCTATCGATAATGTATATATAGATCCTTGTTAATATAATATAGATCTTATGGATTTAAGTGATAAAGAAAACTAGATTATGGTGGAATAAAAAAATTTCAAAATTCGTAATAAAATATAAAAAAAAAAATTATTAACAAATGTATATAGCAATATAATATACATATACTTTTATATTTTGATAAAATTATTTTCTCTAAGAACTAACATCGCAACTAATCTATATATATCTTTTAACAAATGATTTATTATACTTTTTTATAGATTCATTAAGAAATTAATTTTTGAAAAAAGAAAGTTCATTTTTACACGCAACTTTTTCAATTTGGATAGTATGTAACTTCTTCTACCTAATAATGGAACACGCTTTGTTAGACGCTATTCAAGAGATAGGACGGATGGCCCTTTGAAAATGTAATGATCTATGACACGGAACTTTCTCTTTCTAAATACGACGCCAAAATGAATCTGACCCTGCTCCGTATTCTTCTTGTTAAATCTTAGGTATGCGTGTAAGATTAACTATGTAAATAGTATACGTAATTACAAATATTATAAAAACACTTATAGTAAGAAAATCATGTGATATGATCTATTTCATTAAGTTACATAAGAATATAACTATAAAATTATTTGGATTATGAGGAAACTCGACGTTATAAAAAGAGTTACTCATGATTAAATATGATAGGTATATGTATATATGTATGATTATGTATAATTTTGATTTATGTATCAAAACTAAAAGTGAACATTTTATTATTAAGAAATGTTAACGATGTTAACGATGTAATCGATAAATATCAGTATTGTCAAAATAAGACAGAATAATTCAAGATATGACGCTTTAAACAAAATATCCATATACCATAGTGAGAGTGTATTCGTGTATCATTAGCATACTCGTGGAAGAACATAAATTCTTTACGTAAAACGTAATAAAAGACCATAGGAAATTCATGAATGATGTTCTTACATATCAAATACGTTACTCCTTTAACGATAAACTTAAATTTATGAACGAATAATAGATGTAATCTGTGCCTTCGCAGATTTTTCGATTGAATTTTTCGAGATATTCGTAGTGAAGTAACGGAAGCTTTAAAAGATCTAAACCTTCTGTGATCTCTTGATAGAAATGAGAAATATTCGAAGTAGAGAGTGGCCCCAAATCGATTCGACGATACACACATTTATATATCACTATGAAATTTCATCGTCGTTTGTATAGAATGATAGCGTAAAAAAAAAATATATATATATATATATATATATATATATATATATATATATATGTATAAAACTAAATGCTATCCCTGAGGCTTTAACGGGCCTTGAAACCAGTTCAAAGCAAAGCCTGGTTTATTCACCTGTCGAAAACTTTATCTAGCAGTTAAAGACGATCACTCAAGATAGTTAATCGTGGCGCCACGAATTTGCAATGAAACTCGCATTAACGAAGGCGTTCGGAGGTGATACGATTGATCGATAATACACAATACGATATCTATCGTCTGAACGGACATTGTAAGTTGTTGAGAAATTAAATGCAAATTTCTTTCGACAGTAGTTTAAGAATATGCTTTATGAAAAATTTTATCTGCCATACAAAACCCATAGAAAATAATAAATACCGTAGATTGCAAATAATTAAATTTTTTATGACAATAAAAATGCAAAATCAGACAAACATTTTACTTAACTTCGTCTTTATCTTTCTTTTTTTTTTCTTTTTCTTCGATAATTATACTAAAAGAAATTCTACTATAAAAAAAAAAAAATTTTTTTTTTAATGAGACTTAATAAACATTCGAGTTTATACTTACGAATTATTTGAAAACAATAAAGAATTAAAAAGAGATAACCGGTTTCTATTAAGTATAATGTCCAATGTATAGTATGCACAAATCAAAAATTAAAAAAAAAGAAAAAGGAGATATAACAGCTAAAACTATAAAATCTTAAGCTCACCTTTCAAGATATCTCTTGCACGTAAACGTTTGCGCGCGTGATATTGTTTCTTTACAATATCCTTTGTCGAGTACGCTTTGTGGAAACGATCGAAATATATTTTTTTTTGGTACAGGGAGGAGAAATATAAAAGAAGGATCTTTCCCATAAAAAGTCTGCTCTTAAGATAGAATAAGGTAATACCAAACCTCTGTTTCTTTCTCTCTCATTTTTTCTCTTTTTTTCCTCATTATATATGTGTCATATCGTGGGAGTCTGTGAGTCAATCTATACGATGAATTGTGATAATCTGAAAGAGAAAAAAGAAGAAGAAGAAAAGGATGAAGAAGGAGAAGGACGTAATGGAAATGAAAAAAAGAGAAATAAAAAAAAAATAAAAAAAAACCTGAAAAAAAAAGAAAAAATCTGTATGACGTAAAAAAATGTTTTTGGAATTACATCCGTGATAAAAACGTGAATCGTTCGAAAAAGTTAACGTATCCCGGTTGACCAGCATAGGTGGAGATGCCGAAAGATCGAAATTCAAGCGGCATTGGAGGGCGAGGAGGGGAGAGATACTCAATATCGGCGGATACTATAAGAGAAGAAGGGATATGAAACCATCGCCAGTTATATTGACTTTCTTTTAAGCGACACGTGCATACGCATATTCCATATAGAAGGATACAGAGATTAAAAAGTAAGTACGCGTATAACACGTTTTTATATTATTAAACAGAGAGTAAGTGTAAGCATGGATCTATAGGGTCTCGATTCTTCTCGCCTTATATACATATATATATATATGTGTATGTGTGTGCGTTTGTATGTATGAATGTATACACACGCGCGCAGATACACACACATTACTTCATTCTTATTGCAATCCTAACATAACATCTATCTTCATATAATATATATACTTATATACAACTTTACTTGTATCCTTTGCATTAAAATTTGAATTGAATACATTTCGGTATATTTCATCACATCTCAGTTTTTTCTCAAAGAAGAAAAGGATAATATGAAATATATTAATCGATATCGCAAAGCCGGATGTATATCCCGGATTCTCCTATAAGTGCTTTCGAAACGACGCCGGCCAAGGGAGCAATAATTACATGACGTCGGAGAGTCAGCTTTCACGTTCCAGAAAGTGAAAATTTAAGATCTAAATTTACAAGGATGTTACCAGCGGCAAGGTAGCGGCCACCGATATACATATATATGTATATATGGGAGTATAAAAATTATCTGACGATTCCTTTCGGAGACGTAGAGTCTTCTTCTTCTTCTTCTTCTTCTTCTTCTTCGATATGTTTATATGTATACACGTGTGTTCGTTTACATGTGTTTATGTATGTGTATGTGGTTTTTTTTCTCTCCCTTTTCTTTTCTTCTCATATACTCGACGTTTCCTTTCGACGATCTTGAGAAAGCATGTCCGAATTCCCCTCGCAAACGATATTACCTATAACCCACATTTCTGTATCGTACATTTTATCGATATGCGAAATCGCATCGATCGATACACGATGTATTTATATATGTATGTATGTATGTATGTATATATATACCTATATATGTATGTATGGACATATACATAGATACACGTTTTCGAAAGCACTCGCTTACTATTCGAGATAATCATTTTTGCGAGATATCATAATTTCATCAAGAATTGCCGTTGCCTAAGCATCTTCCTCGAAAGTTCTCGGACTATTCGCAATCAATGTCGAGATTTTCGTTTGATCTGTCAATTTGCCTAATTTTGACGTAACGCTCGTTTTGAATTGTGAACAAACACTTCTTACTCGAATATGTTTCATCAAAAGTCTCAGAACTTATATGCATATATACGACTATGTCGATGAGTGAAATACTAGTATATGTATTTGAGAATAGTAGCCTTGAAAAAACTATGAGGACCCTTTCGATAGAGAAAAGAAAATTCCAAAAATGCGTACGCTCTCTTTTTTTTCTCTATCGATATTTAGGTTTAAGATCCTTGTATTAGCCACTGAATGACTAAAACACACTCTCTTCGAAGAAAATTTTATGAATACGAGAAGACGATGTTTTTAATATTTCTAATATTTCCTGTATATATTTATCATTGATCGATAAGTAATCAATTTTTTATCGATTATTATCATTGATCGATAAATAATTAATTCATTATTTATTCTTTCTTCTTTTTTTTTTTTTTTTTTTTATTTTTTTTTTTACGTAACTGACTGAAACGAAACTCGCTAGGTTTTACATTACCTCGACAGAATGAAGTTATTTTTATCGATTTCTCTGTTATTTGCAATATCTACGAGAGTACCATGTTCTTGCAAAATATATGCAAAATATAGTTATAGTATTAGTAGGTAGGATGTTTTATTTTTGTATTCATATATGCGTGTATATATATATATGTATGTATACACGCATGAGCGTGTCTGTTATGTGGGATGGAATTTCTGTCCGCATTCTTTTCTCACATATAGAGGTCAAAACACATTTTACCGTTCGATTTTGCAGCAGCTTTCCTCGAGAAAAAAAAAAGAAAAGAAAAAAAATAAATTTACTGACATTAATAATACTAACATATAAACATGGACACATCACCTACAATACCACCTCCGCATTCCATGTGACATGAATATATCAAAGTAACTCGAAGAAGTTACTCGATAACCGGGGACAGACCTTGTTCGTTTTTTAATTGACCTTGTCCATGGAACCCAAATTGGATTCCTCGTGAGTCATTGTAAAAGACACCGATAATTCGGAATTCATCCAATGATATCATCTGGAATTCATCAAGAGTGACAAAAAAAAGGAAAGAAAGAGATGTTTCGGAACGAATGAATGAAAGAAATTGGCAAATTGAAATCACACGAAGTCGGATAGCCGCTGCGTCCTTAAAGGCCGAAGGTAAATCAACGCTTCTTTGTAACTGTAATCTCTAAAAAGAAAGAAAGAAGAAGTTCCATATCGGTGTACAAAAGTTGCGTCAAGCATGGATGAGAATTCATCCTGTCAAAAATATCTAGACGAAATGACGCATACAAAATCGACCGCCTTGAAAAGCAGTGAAAGTAAGTCTAACTAACAACGTGCTTCGTATTACGGAGTGACATCCCACGGAGTAAAAGAGGCGTAAAAATCAAAAAAAAAAAAAAAAAAAAAAAAAAAAAAGTAAAAGAAAATATCAAGAAGACGAAGTAGAAGAGAAAAAAATCTAGTATGCACATATATACGCGTACATATATAGTTTTAAGAATATTTCAAAGTCAAAGGATAGGAATCTCCTGCGTGTCAAAATTTTATTACTTTCTTTCTCGGATTTCACTTTTGATTTTAATTTTGTTGATTAAATTTCTCATCAAGTTTTACGAGAAAAAGGAGATACATTTACTTATTAATTAATTCTCTTACGTAGAAAGGAGAGTCCCCTCGTTGTTATTTGACACAGATTTTGATAATCAAGCGAATTTTAAGTATTCGACGATTAATTATAAATGTAGATACACTGACGAAAGATTTCTCGTTGCAGTTAAGCAATAAGAAGGCAATGAACAAAATAAAAAGTATTAAATTAATAAATTCAATAACATTTAAAATGCACGCTAGAAAATTAGAATTTTTATTAGACAAATAAGATTACGAGGAGTATCGATACAAAGTGTCTACGATCCCTATCTAACGATATCTATCTAGTTGTAATGCGACACATATTTCATCGGAATAAAATTAAAATAAAAATCATCTTCGGCGAGAGAGTGGCAAAACAAGTTTCTCCAAATCTAAAAGACCTTTTCTCCTTGTTATAAAATTATTCTTAAGGATTCGATATATGTATTTTTTTATTTTTGATTTTTTTTTTCTTTTTCTTTTTGTAATTATATATACTTCATTTTAATAAGAATCTAACTTATTATATCTAACTATTAGAAATATAACGCATTAATATTTCTATTACAAGCATGTAAGATCATATCGATCATCGATTGTAATTCATTCGGATTATGAATGATTTTAACTTAACATGCATATGTCTCTAATAGCTTTCCACGCCTTCTAATCAGATTCGTCGGTATAGTCCGATCTACCTCTTTTGTTGCCTCTATCATCGTTTAGCTTTGTGATTTTTATCTACAATTCCGTTCCATTTTTATTCAAATTATATTTAAATCATTAATCAATATTTTTATCGGATCAATTCTTAATGATATTAGAAGTAATATTACTAGTAAAATTTCCAATCCTTATAGATATTATTAAAAATCGCAATATACTCCAATATTATTCTATTTGAAATAAATTTGTAAATATTTCATTAACAAAATATTTTTTGATTTATTAATTGGAAAACATTCCCCCGATACTCTTGGAATAAAAAATCTATTTTTTTTATTTCTAATAACATTGATTGTATATTAATAAATTCTTGAAACTGTTAAAAGATGCTCAAAATGAGAACACCATTATGGATACTTCTGATTGCATTAATATTAAATGCATATACAAATGGGCTTCCTTACAATCAGATTCCTGAATATTACACATCACGTAAGTAGTTTAATTTTCTTAAACAGAATTTTTATTACAAATTCTATTTACTAACTGTATTATTATAAAAACTAAATATACGTGTATATAATTAATAAAATAAATTCATTTTTTATTTATTAATTTATATATTATACTATGATTTAAAAAATTATTCTAACATGTAACAACAATAATAATTATTATTATAATAATAATAAATAAGAACTGAACTTTTACTGATAAAACAGACATAATTGCAAACACTATTTATTAATGACGATTTAATTCAATCTTTATTTTTATTAACAGAACAATCATCTTGGTATAATAATAAACAGGATCAACAACAAGATAATAGCTTTTCTAATGTCTCGCCACACATTTTGCAAGAACAACAAGTCGGCGAATTTGGCACGGGTTGGAATCAATTAAATCCTTGTAAGTATTATCGATAAATAAATATAACGTATATTTAATTGTACGTTTAATGTATGCATTTTATTGTTAATATAATACAATTTAATGAAAAATAATTCATTATATATATATATATATATATATATATATATATTTCAAACCATATATATAATTTGTTTATAACATTTTTATTATAGCACTTTATATTAGTCAATCTGACTTATATTCTGGTTCAATATCTCAAAACACAGACGTATCAGATTTTATTACACTTTCTCAAACAAACTTAAAGCAAGAAGAAATAACCGATGGTGGATTAACTTTGTCTTGTAAGGGAGATAATAAAATCTGCGTAAATAAAGATCTTTGCATAGATGGATACGTTAATTTCATACAAAAAGAATTAATTCGTGATAAGCAGCAGGTAACAGATTTATATTTCTTACATTAGAATACTAATTGTAGCAATAGGAACTATTCGAAATTATGTGACCATTTATTAAATTTGTGAAATTTATGTTTATCTATTTTGACCTTTCAATTATTTGTATTTTTTAATATTTAGATTCAACAATGCAATCTCAAATATGAAATATGTTGTATTTTAAAAGATTATTTCGAACAATCATCATCTGATGTTGGTGACACAAGTATTCCTTTCCTAGAGCATAGTGATTATCTTGATGTAAATCCCATAATTAATAATCAAGAACATATTCGTCCAGAACAAGTAGATCAACAAAATCTTTTGATCGATTTAAGTCCATCTCAGAATGTAGAATCAACAATAAAAAATGGTGTTAAACAGGTTGTAATTCAACAACAAATTACTGATTTTAATAAAGATACAGATATAAGCTCAAGTACTGCAGTACCTCTACAATCATCAATAAGTTCTAGCACTAATTTAGATCATGTATTTACTCAAGGTAATTTTATTTCAGTATAGATATTTAATCCATATTATGAAAAATTGTCTAATTTTCTATGAAAATGGTATTTATGAATCTGGATATAGGTTCTGCTGAAGTACAGCCATCATCAAATTTACCAAATTCAAGATTTACTGATTTCCAAGTACCATTACAATTAGGATGTGCAGCAGCTTTACTTTGTGTAGAAGAACAATTTTGTACTAAAGAAGGAGTAATTAGCACACAGCCTATCACATTTACAGAAAAGGATATTCTACAGCGTGTTCCATTAAGTGTAAGTTATATTTTGTAATTATTAATTATACTTATTTATTTAATTATCAATTCGATATATATCAAATGATATATTGCAGTGTTCATAACAAATATAGATTGATGAAAAGGTATAAATTTCAAAATATATATGTACAAATATATTTTTTAATGCAATACTAAACATTTTAATAATTCATTAATTTTCATTTTACTCTCTCTTTCTTTTTCTCTCTTTCTCTCTTTTATCTCAAATCTATAGAGTTGTAAAAATTCTGAGAATGGAATTATTGGAAAATGCTGTCGTGATCCGAATTATGTAGATCCATGGCCGACGGGTAATTTACCAGCAAATTATTCTGGTGGTTTTGATGAACAAGGATTTCCAACATTTTTAAATATAGCAAAAGTACGACCACCAAAGAAACCAACTAGTGCCACAAAAACAGCATCAACTATTAAACCTTCAGTGAAACCAACTACATCTAGCAATGAACAAATTTTTACTACTAAATCATCTATTCCAACATTATCCACGTTATCAAATGAGAATAATTATGAAGTTCCTGATTCTTCTATTCATATAACTAAACAAGACACTGGACCATTCTATACTCCACAAAATCCATTGATATCAAATGAAACACCTTTTATTGAACCAAGACCATTCACAAGTAATATCTATAATACTGCATCCAGCAAACAAAATTCTGTATTGGTTCCATCTGGACAAATACAGAATAAATGTGGAGTACGAAATAATGTATGTATTATATATTGTAATTAATTCATAATATTAATTGTACTCACATAATATTACTGTATATGTATTTAGTACATTTTAATATTTTTCATAAGGTTTTACATACAGAAGAATTAGATAAGCCTGTAACATCTTTTGGTGAAATTCCATGGCAAGCAATGATATTATCAAATAAACATCGCAGTATATTATGTTCTGGAGTAATAATAACACCAAACATTGTTTTAACAACAGCTTATTGTGTAAATGGGTAAAATTCTCTTTTTTTAAGTACATGCAACCTGAAGCCAGTAAAAAAATAGTTTATACGTGGTTTAATATACATAGTTTATATACAATTATATACATATTATCTTTTTCTTTTATATCAGAATTACACCACAAGAAGTTTCAGTAAAGTCTGGAGAATGGAAATTAGGATATGAGCTTGAATATGAAGAACCACTTCCATTCGAAATAACAAATGTATCGTCTATTGTTATTCATCCAAATTATGTACTGGGATCTTCTTTGAATGATATTGCAGTTCTCTATTTAGAAAATGCTATAACATACAACAGACATGTAAATCCATTGTGTCTGTCAAATTCAATTGAAACTCAAACATTAAATAAATGCATTGTAACAGGATGGGGCCAAGCAATAATTAAAGGTAAGGAATATGTGTATGTGTGTGGGTATATATATATATATATATATATATATATATATATATATATATATAAAATAATTTAAATCAAATATCTAAGAGAAAATTTTATGTATATTTAGTACATGCACTTGGTGCTATTATGAATAGTCTTGATCTTGACATTTTATCACCTGATGTGTGTATGCAACATGCATCTGGACAAAAATATAATATAAATATAGAATATGGTTCTATATGTGCAAAATCACATAATATAAATCATAATATGTGTCAAACTGAAATTGGTGGACCATTAGCTTGTCAAAGAGAAAACGGAATCTACGAACTTGCTGGACTTTATAGTCAGGATAATGGTTGCTCTCCTACGCATCAAGTAAACAGAAAATTTCCACTTTACATTTATAATTAAGTACATTAGATTATTAATCGATTTATTCATAATTCTTTTTTTCTATAGATTGCAATATTTACACCTATTGACAATGATTGGTTAAAGAAAATGATATATTATAATGAAAAAAATATATCTTCTTCAACATTTAATACAAAAGACGACTTGTATGACTATAGGAAAAGCGATCTTCCATCCAAAATAAATCAATATTTACCACCAATCTAGCAAGAAAGTATACAATTATAATATAGTGCACAATAAAGTTTTGAGAAAACTATTATTAACTTCAAATTATTTTGAAAGAGCATATTCAATAAAATAGTTTATTCGATTTGCCCGGTGTAGGGATGTAAATAAAAAATCAAAATTTTTGATGGAAATATTGTGAAATATTAATTTAAAATAATTCCATACATATTCGTTTTAAAAATTGTCCTTAGAATTTTGTGATAAAAATATATGATCTTTATAATAAGTTAATTCTTGTATACTTTCTATAATATCAGAAGTAGCTCTGTGCTTCAATGTTTTTGGAGGACAAGAATTATAAATTTCTGGATTCCATCTTCTGTAAAATATATATGTATATAAAATTATGAATAAAAAATATATAAAACAGATTATTTTAAATATCTATTTTATAATATATATATGTCATCTTTATGCTATTTGATATTTATTAATATTACAAACCTTACTAATTCTTTAATGGAGCTAACATCTATAATTCTATAATGTAAATAGTCATTAACTAATGGCATGTATTTGTTTAAAAATAAACGATCCATGTAAACAGAGTTACCAGCCAAAGGGCATTTTCCTTTTGGAATATATGTTTTCAAAAATTTTAATACAATTTGTTCAGCATCTTTTAAGAAAATTTTACTATTTTGAACGTCTTCAATTAATTTCGTCTAAATCAACATACAAAATACATGATTATTCATTTAAAATACATATTACATTATAACAACTTACTTTTGCATGATGTGTTTTACACCAATCATTCATATTATTTAAAATAGAATCTGGTTGATTTAGTACAATATTCAAGGGATCGGTTATGATTTTTAAATTATTATCAGTAATTACACAACTTATTTCTAAGATGTGACATGTTTCTATATCTAATCCTGTCATCTGAACAATTGAGAAAAATAAAAAATGGTTATAAAAATAGATATATTAATATATTATGTAATATTTCACATATAAAATATTTAGAAAAATAATTATATACCTCCATATCTAACCAAACTATGTGGTTTTCTTTAATATCGCTCATCATACGTCGTAATGAAACTATAATAAATAATAATATTAACTATAGTATTAATAATTTTATAAAATATTTGATAACTATAATGTAACTTATAGAATGGTTCTTGTTTAAAAATATAGAAAAAGTTAATCATATTTTTTTTTAGATTACATTTATGATCATATTATATTTTTATATTTATATTTATTTCAATATAAATAACTTAATTTGATTCACCATTATAAGTAATATTAGATGGTTTCCACTTTAAACATGTTTTTAATAATTTAATACCCTGAAGAAACATTTATTCTAATCTACTGTACATTATATCAATATTAAACAGCCTTATACGCACGTGTTCTTTTTTATATAAGCTTTTGTATTCGCCAATGAATAATAAAGATAAATACTTCCAAATAACATTTACAATTGCACCATGGCTCCATCTGATTTTAAAAGTACGAAATTAAAAGATATAGATAATTTTGTACGTCAAAATCGTTGGGAGTATATCGAAAAAATAGCGAAATATCTTTATATTGATAAATCTAGATGATTTATAAATTGTATCTTATAAATATTATGAATGTTTATTTTAAACCGGAGGATTTAATAAAGTTATTAAATAGATATATGTATTAGTGTTTTGATGCACTTAAAGGTTATGTTATCATACTTATATTTTTAATATTTAGTATTGTGTAAATTGCTATTGATACATAAATAAGAATCATACAATGTCTTTGTACGATGATTTTGATAAACATCGAACTTCTGAAAAAGTTGCCGGATGGTCGTCCGGTATAAAATTGTTACAATCGCAACTTCAATTAAAAAAAGCTGCAACTACACAGGTAAATGGTAAACAGCCAAAAGTAAGATGCATTAAAATATTAATTACTATATTATTTATTACATATTTAGCCAAAACGTGAACAGTATAGAAAAGCTACTGCTGTATTAGCACCAGTTATAGATTTGAAATCAAAGACTAGAGATATTGAGAAGGATGATGATGGTTTACATAATAATCCACTTACAACAAATAATACAGGTAGTATTGGAATTGGTAGTGAATTTGACTGGAATGTTATAAATGAATATGATCCTATGTGGCCTAATGAGTACGAAAAAGTAGTCAAAGAATTACGTGATATTCGAGATAGAGAACATGATCAAGAAACTGAAATGCGTAAAAGACGGCGTGATAATACACGTTTTGAAGATACACAAGTAATAAATAAATTATGCAAAGTAATAAATAAATCAAATATTGTATACAATTTCAACATTCAATTTATTATTTTAGGCAACAGGAAATAATACTTTAGTACCTCCAGAAAGAGACGAAGAACGTACTCCAACATCTAGGGGCATAGCTGGTGGTGCTGCTATAGCACCTCCTCCTTCGTTACAAGAATGTTCTGAACTTTCAGCATCATCGCCATCACCAAGACAGCCTTCTAATTTAGGTTATGCTACATCATCTGTCGCTGCCAAAATTATGGCTAAATATGGTTTTAAAGAAGGACAAGGCTTAGGTAAAAAAGAACAAGGTATGTCTGTAGCATTACAAGTAGAGAAGACAAGTAAACGAGGTGGCAGAATTGTTGGAGAAAGAGAACAGCTTATGCCACCACCACCTCCAGTTTCAATGTCTCCACCACCTCTACAGCAGCAGACATCACAGCCACAGCCTTCGCAAGAAGAACCAAGTATTACAGAAATCATGAAATCACCAAGCAAAGTAATTCAGTATATCTATATTTTTTTTTTTTAATTTTCTTCAATTTACTTTTAACAAAAAAATATTTTTTTTTTTAGGTTGTATTGCTACGTAATATGGTTGGACCAGGAGAAGTAGATGATGATCTAGAACCAGAAGTGAAAGATGAATGTAATACAAAATATGGTGATGTAGCACGTGTAATTATTCATGAAGTTATTGAAGCAACTCCAGAGGATGCAGTTCGTATTTTTGTAGAATTTAAAAGAATAGAAAGTGCTATTAAGGCTGTCGTTGATTTAAATGGACGATTCTTTGGGGGTAGACAAGTTAAAGCAGGTTTTTATTCTAGTGAAAAATTAGACAGTTTGCAATTAATGGATTAATGATAAGAATATTGAACATAGAAATTATACTAATATATACTATATTAATTCTTTATTGTCGAACTTAAACTATTTCACCCGTTCGAAAATGCGAACGAAAATAATTCCGACTAACGGTATTACTATGCCTACAACTATTACGACAAAAATGAGTTAATATCCAGTTGAATCCTAATATTGTTTAATGTCTTTTGTTTACGTTTTGAAGAAAAAAAAAATGGAAATCATAAAAATGGAATTTACTCCAATATATATAAAATATATATATATATATATACATAAAGAAATATTTGATTTTTTTAAGTAAAATGGTAAGACAGTACATACTTCATTATTTTAATTTTAACATATTTTTTTTTTTATTAAATTGTAAGACGTTTTCATTCCTGCATTAAATATTCTATATATATAATAGTTTTTCCGATAACAATTTTTTATTATACTTTATCAAAGTAAAATACAGCATAAAAAAGAAAAGTGCAATGTATAGATTATTTATTGAACTTTTCTTATATTAAATATTTCACAACCTTTGCACACTTTTGTAGAAATAGTATACATAATTTTTACATAAGCTTCTTTAGAAACTTATCATCTATAATTTAAAGTATCATATTCATTTTTAGTATAATTATAAAAATAGTAAGAACATTTCATTTAATTGATTTAATTTGATGTAGTTAAGTGCCTCAAAAAATTAAAACACTGGTTCACTTATTTTATAAATGCATTATATGTATATTTTATTTTATAAGCATAATAAATAATGTATTATTAAAAAAAAGTACTAGATAATAGTTAATTAAATTAATCTTTCTTAAAATTAATTAGCTCATCTACTGCTTTATTTAACTGATTACTAAATGCTGTAAAACTAAATGTTGCAAGAAATCGTTTTCTGCCAGCTTTACCAAACGTTTCTATAAGCGATGGATCTTTTATTAATAATTTAATCTTTTTAGCAAATTCTTCGCTAGAACCATTAGCTAAATATCCAGTAACTTTGTCAATAACTGATTCCTTTGGACCACCAGAATTATGGGCAATTACAGGTTTTCCAATGTACATAGCTTCTAATGGAACTATACCAAAATGTTCATTGCGTGGTGTGTATATCAAAATATCACAGTGTTTTAAAAGAGAAACTTTATAAATATCTGATGGAGAACGTAAGAAAATTACTTTATCTGTAAGGCGTAATTCGTCAGAAAGTTCTATTAATTCCAAGTAATATTCAACATTTTCTTCAACTCGTTTATCGTATCCACCGGCCATAATTAAATATAATCGTTTATATTCTTGTTCTGTTAAAGAATCTTTCAAGTAGACAAGTGTTTCTATTGCAAGAGATAAATCTTTTTTTCTTTCATATCTATTAATAGATAAAAGTATAATGCTATCATCTGGCAATTTTTTGTTCAATACTCTTTCTAATACTATTATTCTTGTTTTATCAAAGAAGTCTGTATTAATAGAAGGATATAGAACTTCTGGTTCGATACATAAACTCTCAAATGTAGATTTGAATACATTGCGAGTATATATACTATTTACAAAAATTTTATGAGCCATCCCAGTCGTAATTTTTTCTAAATAATTAAGAGGAAGACGATATAAAGCTTTACAACAACCTCCAGGCATAGAAAGTAATTGATCTGGATGGTGACAATAAAATATGATATGGGGAATGCGTAATCGAAGAATAGGAATACATACTGAAATTAAATCACAAAATACTAATTCTGGACGGTTTTTTAAAAATAATATATAAGTTGCAGCATATACCTAGAAAAATATTGTAATATATATATATCTATTTATATATATTTATATATAAATTTTTATTTATAAATTTTTATTTTTATTTATAATTACAAGATATATATTGTTTTTAACTTACCATTCGAATATAAGCACATAATGCAAAAAATTTGCCTAAAATATGTCTTGGTAGCCAATTACCAACAACTGTAACGGGAATCGTACCATCTTTTGTTTCAAGAAAACAGTGATCCGGATCATGATGAGTTGTCACGAAAGAAACGTCGTGACCATTTTTCTTTAAAGCTAAAGCAGCATCAACAACTAATCTTTCGGCTCCACCAATTCCAAGATCTGGATGCAAAAATATTATACGAGTCATTTTATAATACTTTTAAATGACAATTCCACGTTTTATCATTAAAAAAATGCCTTATTTCCACTTATCTCTTTTCTAATTTTTGATTTTTGACTATAGTATTAGTTCAAGAATATGAGTACATTCAAGTATATTCAGAAAAAACACCATCTTTAACGCCATCTATCTATTCGTATTCATTCGCGTGTAACCAATGATATTTTAACGCGCGAATTATTTAAAGCAAAATTCATCATTTCTGGTTTTATAATGATTTACGCGAACAATAAGTCCAGCTGTAATTCTTGATTGATTTTGATGTATAAGGTCCCATTTTAAAGATGAAGATTATAACTCGACATGGCTTCTCGAACTTTTGAAAAAGCTTTATTTTCTTTGAAAATAATCGTATCAAAAAATGGTGTTTTTTTCCGAGAATGGTTTATATATAATAGTTTACACAAATAACAAATACTTTTCATATGTTCTTTTTTTTGCTTTGTCAGATGCACTGTATATACAAAAATTTTTATCATACATTAACTCGATTGTTAGGCTATGCGTGAAAAGTATATTATCTACATAAATTTATACATCAATGCAATAAACGTATATATATTTGGATAGGTATTTCCTTATTGCGCTTGCAGTTCATGTTTTTTTCATACTTATCACTGAAATCTCATACGCTATGAGCAAAAGGTGATGAATAGCCTTAAGAAGGAATTTTCGAAATGAAAACAATTTTAAAATTTGGTTATTACGAGTTACATCGAGTAGACTTTATTACACTTTATCAACCAACTTCATTTTACTTTTTTACGGCGTTATGGCATTATTTGACTTTATCGCTTATAAAAGTTAATAAATTATAGAATTTAGATTACGTTTTATTGATATTTAAAAATATGAGTGGAAAAAAAGATGAACCGAAGAAACAAGAGGAAGATGAATTATTTGATTTTATATATAAGTATCTATTACTTTCCAGAAAAGTAAAAACTGATGCATGGATGAAGTTATTAGGAAGTGAAGATCTTAAAGTAAAGTCGTAATTATGTAAAGGATATGTAAAAGAATCGTTTTAAAAAGATCGTTAATCTCTATGTCCTATATGGATATAAAGGATAATAATTTTGTGAAAAATTATACATTTCAATATTTTTAATTAACTTTAACATTAATTCAGGATATTATTCTCAAGTTCTTTAATATACCATCCAATATGATTTTAACTATACAACTTACATCAGCCGGTGCTCTCATTCCATTTCTTGGAATTGAATCACCTAGTCGAGTTAAATCTTCATATTTTATTAAACGAGAACCTATTAAAATTACAAAATATAATTATAGAGAAATGCTTATACTTGGTGATATGGCACCGAAACCTATTGAAGAAGCAGCTGTTTTAATAGAAGAGGTATTAATTTGTTAATAGTAAATTTTTCTCATTTGTATTATAATATTTATTATATTATTATATAATATACTTTTTTTTTATATTCATAGGTTTATTTACCAATTTTAACAAATCCAATCAATCATACTGGATGGCCTCTTATTGCTAAGGAAGATGTGAAAAAGCATGTTTATGATCTTAGAAGTTTACTTTATCAGGTATATCTATTCATATATATGAATTGATTTTCAAATTAATTTTATTATAATTATTAAAACTTATATCCTATTTATGTCCTTTAGATAAAAGGAAAAATGTTTGGTGAAACAATATTATCCATGCCAATTGATATAGAAAAAATTTTTGAAGAAGAATGGAAATTACAACAAAATGAGAATGTACAGTTTAATGTTAAATTAAGAAGTAATATTGAAAGTATAATTATTAAATGGACTTCACAAATAAATGAAATTCTTGAGGAAGAAGGAATACTTCTAAGTTCAGATTATCTTTTGCCTATTGATGGTATACTTTATATTTTGGCTAATATTTATAAATATTTTTGTTTTAACAATTTTAATATTTATGATATATTTATACCAAACCGATATTTTATAGATTTAATTATACTATTTTTAGAATTGGATTTTTGGTTTAAAAGAATTAAAAATTTAGAATCTATCTATCAACAGATAAAGGATCCTCGAGTAAAAAAGATGGGTTCTATACTTGAATTGACTGAAAGTCCATATTCTGAACATTTTAAAACTATATGGAAAAATGTTATTGCTGGTTAGTCTATTAAATTATATAAAACAATTATAATTAGCTAAATATTAATTCAATTTTATGGAAGATTTTGTATTCAATGGTATTTTTTTATTTGCTTCAGCTATAATTGAGGCACGTGATATATGGATGCATTTGAAACCACTTGAATATTATTTAAATAAAATACAGAGTACAGAGTTCAAAGATATTCAATCATTATTGAAGCCATTAATGCATTGTGTTTGTTTAATATGGTCAAATTCCAAATACTATTGTACTACTACACGTATTATTCGATTATTATCAATGATTTCAAATTTATTGATAGCTGAGGTACATTTATTTTAATATTCATAATTTCAATTTTAAACATTTATAAATAATATTTATGAATAATAAAATCCAAACACTATTGTTTATCTAAACACTATTGTTTTTCTAAAAGTATAATTATTGATCTACAAATTGTTATTTATTATATATTCTTCAGGCTAATAAATTTTTGGATCCAAGTTCTTTATTTGAGGGTGATGCTGAAGATAATTTAAAACGGTTGGAACAAACAAAAAATATTATAATTTATCATCAAAATATATTTCAAATTTTTCGTGATAAAGTGGATTCTTATTTTAAACCTCCTAATGAACCAATCTTGTGGAATTTTCATGATAAATTAATATTTGGAAGATTGCGTAAATTTGACAAACGTTTAAAAGAATTACAGGTTTGACAAGAGTAATTTACTTTTTGAAAATAAATCATAATATATTTTATTATATTTTTATTCAGACTTTCTTTGAGATAGTACAAGAATATCTTAAGTTAGAAAGAATAGAAATAGCTGGATTAAAAGGAAACATTTTATATAGAATGATATATGAAATTCATGAGAATTTTGTTAAAATGTATCGTCAATTTGCTGATGTTCAGTATAGCATTTTAACACCAGAA